CAGGATGTATTCAGATTTATATTTTTTGTTAGTAAAAATGAATAAATTTTGCTGAGGTTGTCGATGTCTGTCTTTTCGTTGATATTGTTTTCTTTGATTTCTGGAAATGGCTGAGATCACATGAAAGCAATATGTGTTTTGTTTTGATATGGTGAATTTGTTTTCAAGTGAGTTATTTCCAAATCGTCCATGAAATTTGAGAGTGGACCCAATATTATTATTAGGTTCGAGTTTGTTCAGCAAACCAGTATGTCCTTATAGATAAAATATCTTTTTAAATATCGCTTAAAATATTATATTTCATCCACAATAGATACCAGATCGGTACTTATAAATTTTTCGAAAAGTGAAAAATTTTGAGGTGAAAGAAATAGTTTTTCGACATATTTGAGGGGGTATGGCAGGATTTCTGGACCGTCGGAATGGTATAACGTGCTTATTTCCGTACAAGATTGTTTGAAAAAGAAAATCAGCCTGTAAGAAATGAATAGAAAAAAATACCAAAGAAGAGTTTCAAAACAGTATGGCAGGCCTAAACTCCCACCGGAAAAATATGGCATATAGCTAACGCTGGATTTGTTTTTGTTAAAATACCGATAAATTGAAGACATAAAAATAAAAATTTTTGACACCTCCGAATTTTCGCACCATACCGTAAAAAATGACTTATCAAAATCTTCCACAATCTCCCGGTCTAAAATATATATAGTGAAGAATTCGACTATTTGTGGTTTTTGTCTCGTTTTATTATAGATATGAGGATTTAAACACTAATATTACATTTGACGTTCCATAACAATAAAATGGTACTCGTTTTCAAACTGTTCTGCATCCATAACTAACATAAACAGTTACTTTTCTCCATAATATCACTGTACAATACAATATTGTGTACTACTGATTGGAAGTAGCCATATAATATCTAAACACTTAGCCAATATTATAAATACATCCATATGTGTAGGGAAATTCCCAACTGCACAATGAAATATCAAAGATTGTTCCAGTCCACAAAAAAGGCGAGAAGACTAATGTAGGAAATTACAGAGGAATATTCGTCATAAACTCATTATCCAAATTGATAGAAAAAGCCGTATATGAACAAATTATGCTTTTTCTCGATAAAAATAATATAATCTCCACCCAACAGCATGAATTTCGTAAGAATTTCTCGATCGAGACTGTCTCGGCCGAAATGATATAAATATATTCATGAAAATTTTAATAATAGACTACATGTTTGTGGTATCTTTTTTGACCTCACACAAGCATTCAAAACCATAAATCCTAAATTCTTGTGTGAAATAATTATGTAAAATTGGCATACGAGGACCCATCAACAGTTGGATTCATTCATACATGACTGAAAAAATTATTAAAGTAAAAATAAATAAGACGTGCTCAGAAGAACGGCAGACCGAAATCGGTACGCCGCAGGGAGGAATACTGGGACCTCTTCTTTCCTTCTTTATTTCAATGACTTTCTCCGTTTAATCGAGCATGGTAGACCATTCATGTATACCAACGATACAAGTATCATAGTAATAGCAGAGAACGTATCCCTCGTGAAAGAAAAATTAACTAACGTAATTAGCAGCTTCACAGTATGGTGCCAAACCATAAACAATATGTTTAAGACAGTTTGCGTTGAATTCATCTGCAAAAAACTCAGAAAAACGTTCTTTGCATTTGCGACTCTGAAAAATAACTTCAATAAAAGGCATTTGCTAGATATGTATATTCAACTCTGTGTAAAAACATAACGGTTTGTGGGCAATCAGTGGAAGTAGTAAGAAGTTTTGTTATCCAAAAAAGACTTGCAAGATTGATCTTCGATCTAAAATATAATGAATCATGCAGAGAAGTCTTTTTTTTTAAATGAAATTCTGACGGTATTTGGTATCTATCTTAAAAATTACTGCCTTACATCCATTCAAATTTGTCATCATTTACTAGATCTGATGAAATACACGATTACCCTACTAGACAAAACCATGAAATTCATATTAGAAAATGCAATCTTACGGAAGATACGCCGGAAGATATGCCAAGATATGCCGGAACAATGGCTTTCAACCACCTTCCAGGAAAAATTAAAGATATTCCCGATCACAAAAAATTTAAAAAACAATTGAAGACATTTTTATTAGATAAACATTTTTATTCACTAAGTGAATTTTTATATCATAAAGAAAACTAAATAATGTTTTTCTTTTTATATTACTTTTAAAATTAATGTGACTGTATTTGTATATGTTTCTATAAGTATTTTCAGCTTTTTTATATTGAACTGTCTAATGTATACCATGTGTACCTGAAAAGATGAAATATATCTCTTATCTTATGAACATTAAATATTAACATATATAAATTGATGAATGTAGCCGTTACTACGTGGTAGGAAATCATAATGAAGAAAAGAGAATTGATACTTTCTATAGGACGAAACTGCAGTAACGTTAGTTACAAATAAAACTTGTGATATACTGTTTGGAACCTTTGGTGTAGTAATGAATATTACTGGAGTTTTTTCCCAATACCAAATCGTTATTTTTACACCTCGACACGTGTTTCGATCACCAAGTGATCATCTTCAAGAGGAAGATAAAACTGTTTTATCTGTTTTATTTAACACCAAATCGTTATTTTTACACCTCGACACGTGTTTCGATCACCAAGTGATCATCTTCAAGAGGAAGATAAAACTAATAACTACTCAAAACTAAAGCTAGATAAAATATCTTTTTAAATATCGCTTAAAATATTATATTTCATCCACAATAGATACCAGATCGGTACTTATAAATTTTTCGAAAAGTGAAAATTTACTTCAAAAGTTATTATTTTCTTTCGTGATTCACTGGGTACTTCTCATAATTTTCAAGTACCCAATTCATTTTTTGTCACCTCGCCGATTTCAGAAAAAGAAAAAGTTCATTCAGAAATGTTTCTCAAATCTTTCGAAGGTTTTAATACCTGCGACGTAGCGGTCAACTTTAAATTCGCAAAATATCGGTCACATCGACCAAAAATAGTGCCATATATGAAAAATGTTAATTTTCAAACGTTTTTAAAACACGCTCATAGAAGTCGTAAAATTATTTCTTACAGTATGGCCAGTTTTGGATATACCTACACAGTAGATTTAATGGACTGACGCCTATCAGAAAACAACTACTCCACTGGCCAATACCACGAACGGCGTTGGATTATATCCGACAAACGTCAGTGCAGGAATCTTCATAAAAAAATTCCTGCATATGAAATTGGCAATACAACTGAAACAGTCGACCTTCAATTTTGGAACGGGCACACTTCCAGACCAATTTCGGGCTCCTTAGCCACTCGTCAGTACAAGATAGTGAAACCGGTTAGTAAGTGTGTCCGTTCCAAAATTGAAGGTCGACTCTTTCAGTTGTATTGCCAATTGCATATGCAGGAAATTCTCTGTGAAGATTCCTGCACTGACACCTGTTGGATATAATCCAACGCCGTTCGTGGTATTAGCCAGTGGAGTAGTGGTTTTCTGATAGGCGTCAGTCCATTCAACCGACTGTGTAGTTATATCCGAGACTGGCTTGACCATTTAAATTTCTTGTTTTTAGATTTAATAAAACGATTTATTGCAGTATGGCATTTTAATTTTTGTACAGTTCATAAAAAGTATGATTCAGGAAAATTATCCCATACTTATGATGAAGTCCAAAGGTGCCATACCCGTATTTCAGTACCAACTCGTACGAGACGTACAATTACCCATAACGGTACGGGTCAAACAAACCAACCTTTTTTCTCAAACTATATGTGTTCAAAACTATACAAAAATTGTTAATCAAAAAATTGTATACCAAATAGCATACTATATAGCTTGTTGAAATAATATTGTTGGGTTTACTGATTACTACAAAAAGACACATTGTAAATATATTTAGATAGGCAATATTGTGAAACCAATTTTATATAGCTGAAAATTGTTCTATATATAGCTGTAACATTTGAACATATATAAGGATCTATTGTAAATAACAGAAAGGCCAATTGTAAAATTAATTTAGGGTGATACACTTGTATGGGTGGTATTACTGATTACCTACCTGTATGATGTACCTGTATGATGTACCTGATTAGTATAAGTAGCTTTAGTTTTGAGTAGTTATTAGTTTTATCTTTTTCTTGAAGATGATCACTTGGTGATTGAAACACGTGTCGAGGTGTAAAAATAACGATTTGGTGTTGGGAAAAAACTCCTGTAATATTCTTTACAAATAAAACTGGTAAAAAACATAGAAAGTTCCAATTCTCTTTTCTTCATCAACAAATATGCTAAAACTGATCGATACTTCAAGGAAATTCATCATAACATATTAAAAAAACACTTCAATATGAAAGTAGTTGTTTCGAAAGGACTTTTTTCAGTGTTTGTCTGAAAGTTACGTCTCTGCATAAACCACACATCTTTATATGGAGTACATTTCGAAATTAATTGCTTTCTTCCATTTTTTGAAAAATTTCCAAATATACCCCTTTCAGTTTAACTTGAAGTGTTTCATGATTTTTCGAAGGGATGGGTGAAACTCTCAGCATACTTTTATCATTTCAGTACATCGAAATCATATCATATTTCACTGATATCTCTGTGAACCAGTTTTCGTCTTATATCAATTCCTTATTTTCAGGAAACTGAAGACTCAATTCTCTTTTCAACTCCAGAGGAACCAGATTACCTTGAAAACGAAATAGACGATGAAGCCGATGAGAACGAAATGAAAAATGATCTCTATTATGATAAAGATGACTGCTCAATGCAAGAATACGAAGTATTGAAGGTATGTTGTAGTTGCATGAATAGTTGAAATCATTTACTGATATCTGTGGTTATATAGCAATATCATTTTTCAGATTACTCTCACTTCTAGACATTTTTTGGTTCAATTCAATTAACTGTTGTACTGTCACAATTTATTGCCCTAAAATTACAAGTGTTCGGGTGACTTGGCACATTTGATTCCACCAAGAGCGGTACATATCAGAAATACGCGACAGTTTGTGGCTGCTCATCGTTTTGAAGTTCAACTCAGTACACCTCGAAATTCGCTGTTTGAGAACTCTTTCATTTGGGAAACTGCGTTGATTTAGAATAAACTTCCTGGTGAGGTTTTTCCAAATGGATTTGATCTCCAGCGATCCAAATCCAATGTGAACCGCTATTTTCTTACAGGAACCGCTCCTAGAGAACCTTAAGGATTTTCCTGTTGTGCTTGTGATTTCTCATTTAAAAAAAAACTGAATAATAATAAGAGCAATCTAATTAAACTCAAATATGAAAAAGTATTACTTTTCATATCAACTGAAGCATCTGCTCAGGACACGTGTTTTATTAGGAGATATTCATGACAATAATATATCTAATCACTCAAATCCAGGGTTGAAGACATTTCAGAGAGTATTTTATGTATTACATGGTCAGTCCCACTGAATTCAGTTTCTGGAAAATTCTTTCGGTAGAAACAGATTCGTTTGTTTTTCGTAGTCAAAAAAACGAAAATCACTATTACTTCTTACCTCCACAAGAGAAATCCTCATTACATCTGTCGTTGCTTCTGCTTGCATTATTCTTGATACGTTGTTCACAATTTTTCTACTTTGTCCATTGAGAACCTTGTTTTTCAGTTTACTGTTCGAACGCATTTTCGAAGACAACAAATAACTTACAGTTCACCACACATAATAATTTCCATACATACGCTACTAACACGATGTTAGCTACACGAGTTCCTCGACGGTATTAAACACTTGCTTCACTCCACTGGCTGATCTACTATGCATATAAAATTGAGAAACAATCTACATTTACCAAGCTGTACTGAATATGGCTACCGCAGTAGCAAATAATTGGTACTACAGTTTTCATTCGACTACAGTCCACCAGCCCGGATTTTGTTCTCCCAAATAATGACTTTGGCCATTGAAGTTTTCATTCTCACAGCGTGATAAGCTCATTTTTCTTGCTTATCTGAGACCAAAGATCAATTATCCCTGATGATTCTTTTGAACTCCTCACCGTAATATGCAGAGTTCTGAAACCATCGTCAATCACTAAGAGAAACAATGGTTTGAGGAAACAATCGAGAACTCCACGTGGTACTCTTGGACTACAGTAAAGCATTCAATACATTAGACCACAATATTCTGTGTAGAAAAATGTAAATTTTCGGATTTAGTGAAGGGACTGTAGATCTATTGAAAAGTTACTTCAGAAATCGGACTCAGTCAGTATGTCTGGATGGAAAGTGTTCTAATGCTTTACCTGTTGACTATGGAGTACCTCAGGGCTCTATCCTTGGCCCCATTCTGTTCTCTCTATATATATCTGACTTCCATAAAATAATTGATCATTATGCAGATGACACTCAGTTATATTATCGATTTTCTTCAACTGGCAGGTGTCAATGGAAAAAATTAACAGCGATCTACAAAAGTTACTGGATCTATCTATAGCCCATAATACGAAATTGAATTCTAGAAAAATTCAGCTGATACTTTTTGGCCCGAAACACAAAAGGTGGGAAATTGAAGGAAGAATTGGAATCAAACTTGGACAATACTTAGTACAAATAATTACAGAAAGCAAGAACTTGGGTTTGTGGCTAGGTGGTGATCTGAGATTTCACAAACATATAAATTCACTTTGTCGTAACTCGTACAGTATCTTACGTCAACGGTATCAAAATAGAGATATTATGACTTCCAAATTGAAATTGAAACTTTGCAAAACTCTCATATTGTTTAGATTAGCACATTGCGATATAATCTACGGGCCTGATTTGATACACTTTGATGTAAATCGCTTACAAAAAATACAAAACAATTGCATTCGTCTTTCTTATGGTGTGAGAAATTTTGACCATATATACCCCAAGTTTGAGGAGTGAATTTAGACACTACTCCATATACAGGGTGTAACTAAATAAGTGTAAAACATCAAAGGAGGTGATTCCTCATCAAAAAAAAGATAGGATCTTTCATATAAAGGAATTTCATTGGAGCATACCTGGTTAAGATACAGCTCCTTAAAGGGGGTACATGAAATATGTATAACAATTTTTTTCCCAAGCACTAAAAAATTTACAATATTGAAATTAACCTGATGTTTTGTACTACCAAAAAGATACTTAGCCAGTAATGTATTTGGTTTACCCCATGGTTGTAAGGGGTGGAAAACGCAACCTCTAAAATTTATTTCCAATGTAACTTTTTGTCTTATTATTTATTTACCATTTATTTCCGATAGCCTGTCTCATTATAAACAAAAAATGTCTTCTGGGTTTTTTGCCCAAAATAAACCAGTTCGCAGAAAAAAATTATTTTACGAACAACTGTAGAGATACATCGTCATAAATGCGAAAATACAAAACTAATCTTTAATAATTCACTTGTTATTAAAATGGCATGCATAATTGAGGAAATGGCTAATTGCATTTCGTTTACGGTCTGTCGCAGGGAAATGGGTTAGAATCTTCTAGAAGATATACTGAAATGTATCCTCAACGGCAGCATCCTTCACATAGAATATTTGCTCGACTCCATCAACGATTACGAGAATATGATTCATTCGCAGGATTGTGATTGCCATCGAGAAGTACGAACACCACAGCTTGAGGAAACAGTACTTAATTTGATTGAAGAACAACCTACTACCAGTACTAGAAAGATTGCTTTCCAGCTAAATGTTGATCATATGACGGAATTTCGAAGTTTAAAGGAACAACTTTTGTACCCTCACCATCTGCAACGAGTACAGGCACTGTTACCGCGAGACTTTCCGAACCATCTAGAATTTTACAATTGGATAATAATAATAATAATTTATTCATCTCTCATTTTACATTTTTGTACATACATATGACACAGTGCAGAAGATAAGCGGGGAAGGGGAATAAATGGGCAAACCTACAGAAGATCAAGTCTGTGCGTAGGGTATTAGACGGGGAGGTTCAATTGAATCTGAAGTTGATAATGATAATATAACATAGTACATATAAAGAATATAAAGAATATAAAATATCCATATAAACAATTCTATGTCTATAGTTGATAAAAGTAATGTACATAAAAATATAATTTTAATCATATGAAAAAATATAAGAAGGAAAAATATAGAAATCCAAATATCCTTCACCATGTTATGTATATACAGACATATACTCATACATATACACATACATACACACATATATACATATACACACATACACATATAACGTATATTTAATGATAACATAACATAACGTAGTACATACAAGGAATATAAAAATATACAATATACATGCTGGATGCTGGAAATGATTAGAAGAAATTGTGACTTTCTGTAGACGATAGAATTCACAGACGAATGTAGTTTTTCTTGGGACAAGATTATTAATTTTCATAATTACCACATATGGGCTGATAAAAACCCTCACGCTATTGTCGAAACTAACCATCAAGAACAGTTTTCTCTTAACGTGTGGCTCGAAGTTATTGGGGATGATTCAATTGGGCCTCATTTTCTACCTCCTCGATTGAATAGTGAGGCAAACGTTCAATTTCTAAGAGAAGTGCATCCAGTACTGCTGGAGGAAGTTCCTTTGGGCGTCAGAAGGGATATGTTTTTTATACATGATGGGGCTCCCGTCCGTTTTAGTCAAGTATCTTGTCAGCATTTAACTGAAACATATGCAAATCAGTGGATAGTCAAGGAAGAGCACAGAACTGGCCCACTCGATCCCCGGATCGCTATCCTCTCGATTTCTCTATTTGGGGCCATTTACAGCATTTGGTTTATCGTACTCCTGTTCACGTTGTAGAGGACTTAAGAAACCGCATCATTGATGCATGCAGGGTAATCAGAGGGACTCTAGGAATATTTGAGCGAATACGTGGCTCAATGCGCCGACGACTAGACGCATGCGTAATGTCTGAAGGTAGGCATATTGAACATTTACTATGATTTCTACATGTTGTGTGTTTTGTTATTAAAAAATTAGTTTAATCGTTTAATACAGGTACCAACTACAAAATAACAATAAATCCAGTTCGCATTTATGACGATGTATCTCTGTAGTTGTTCGTAAAATAATTTTTTTTGCTGCGAACTGGTTTATTTTGGGCAAAAAACCCATGAGACATTTTTTGTTTAGAATGGAACAGGCTATCGTAAATAAATTTTTAAATGGTTCAGTGCTTGTGAAAAAAATTGTTATACAAATTTTATGTACCCCCTTCAAGGGGCTGTATCTCAACAACGGGATGCTCCAATGAAGTTTCTTTATATGAAAGATCCTATCTTTTTTTCTATAAGGAATCACCTCCTTGAATGTTTTACACTTATTCAGTTACACCCTGTATAATTTCCAGAAAAAGTTGAAAACATATCTGAAGTCTTCTGGATAGATAATATATTCATGTTCTGCCTTGGTTTTCTCTTTGTCTCACTTTTGTGTATGTTTTGCTATATATTTTACCTTTAAAAACAATGTATGTCAATGAATAAAGCCCATTTTTTATTATCATTAAATAAGTTAAGAGGCAATATGAAATAACCATTGGATGTCTTATTCATTTGTTGGTATTGTATATTGGGATCATTTGTCGCTTCAAATCAAAATTATGAATACTATTTGGCTTGATTTGACTTAATGTGTATATAATATATTTATGTATAGCATCCTTTCGTCACAGCTAACTTTGGTCGTGAGAATTCACATATTTACCTTGAAACCATTTCAATATTCAATTCCAATTTCCTAAAATTTCATTATCTTTGAATTCAATATTGAAACAATACAGCTGAAAACTGCTGAATACAAAGCTGAATAGTTCAAACCGTTCCGAAGGATTTTTCAGTAAAATATATTTTTTGCTCTTTAAAGTTTCATTCGAACCTTGTAAACCGTGAAATATGAAAGAAACAAGATCAGCATGCAGCTGTATGCCTAACAACAACCTTTTCGCCCCAATAAAATTTATATGCACATTTGTTATCCCCGAACCACAGTAAACTAGTCCTGTATCGGTCTTTCTGTTTGCAGGATAATTTATTGTTGTACAACCACGCCAGGCTGATGTCACAGGATAATCATAGCAAGGATTACTTGGTTTCCATTATGTTTTCCCACTATGACAGGAATAACAATGGAAACTTGGAAGCCACCGAATTGAATGAGGTGAGTGATGTAACCAGTGGTGTTACTCCACCAGTAAGCATAGTCGTGATATACGCAGGTTCATTAGAGTCAGAGCAGCATTAAGGAGGTTATCGTAATTCCAGTTGTTCTGAAAGTCTTTGAATATTAATGATTGTGCGGATAACTATAGTGACCTCAAAGTTCTTGAAAATGCAGTGAACGCAATCCTCAGCAGTTTCAACTTTTTGATTAGAATATCATTAACAGTCTGAAATCGAATATTTCCGGCATTAAACACTTGATTGGGTTTTCCCTATGGTACTTGAAATGAGCTGAAATCAAATTCAAAATATCCTAATAAACTGTCATTTAAAGGTAGTTCACAATATTTCATAGTACATTTCATTAGTTCGGACTTTCATTATCTAATATGATATAAAATGATTTGAAATCCCAGGAAAAATCAATAAAATTTTTGAAAAATAGCTAAGAAAGTAACTATTATATTGATACAAAAAACTGAAATTACAATGAAATTGAATACAAGCAACAATTGAAAATATGGCAATTGAAAGAAATGAAAATTAAAAGACATCAAGCCACCTTACTTCACGACGTTCAGATTGTTAGTATCCTCAATCGTCTTCGAGTGATGACTGGGTCATCTCCCAATTTCTTTAGTAGTTCCAATAAACACACACCACACCAACACACACAGAAAGATACCTGAACAAAATCTCTAACCACCATTCACAAAAAAAGGGATGGGTAATTAAAACGTTGGTTGGAAGAGCACGACGTATTTGTGAATCTTGGGAGTCTTTCTGGGAAATTCAATCACCCGAAAAATACCTTCAAACCGAATGGGTACAGCGAAGGAGATTTCGAGCAAGCCATACGATACAGGATTGAGAACACCAAAGTAACCGCGGCCATACTGGTCAAGGCAAAAGCTTTCCTTCCCTTTGTTGAAAATTTTACAGACTGAATTAGGAGAATCTCAGAGAATCTTTAACAAGACCCGGGGTGTACCAGATTCCTTGCAGCTGCCAGTCGGTCTACATTGGAACCACAAAAAAAGTGGGTACCTGTCTCCCTGAACACAATTGTTTACTCATACAAATCGACAAATCAGCTGTAGCCGAACATACTCTCAGCGAAGAAGGCACTCACATTATCTCATTCGAAGATTAGATTAGAACTGAGGAACTGGCCCATGGCCTGATTCACTGCGACCTTTTCAGATCTATTGTGATGCTCCTTGATTGTTAGAGCTCATTGTCTAGCTTGACTTTTTGATGAGACTCCATAGCCTTGACACTAACCCCTTCATCCAGCTGGCAGCCTCTGGTTTCTCTTCCCGCATCATGCGTGTCTCAGCCTTGCTATCGTTTTGCGTTCACAGAGCACATGCGGTTTCTTCCTCTTCTTGACTGCATTGGGTTTTTTCTGTCAGACCCATGTTGCTCATATGTTTCCTGAGTCGGCTATGCCCCGTTGGTAGACCCACCACTACTCTTACAACCTTCGGTTGTGGTTAGGCAGGTCTTCCGTGAATCTGGGCGATGGTTTCTTTCAAACTCTTTCGCCTGCCTCATTCCTGGGAGCCTATTCCACCAATCTATCGATTAGGCTTGCAGCTATGAGTTTATGGATATCTTTGTACATGCTTTCGCTACCTCGCAGAAGGGTTCTGGGCCGATTATAGCCTTGGATGTGCCTTCACGGGCTAGAACATCGGCCTCATGTCCGGGTACCCACGCTAGAGTGAGTGACCCCAATTTGGGTACTCAATTCCTCGAGTGCGCTCAGACAGCTTCCCACCAGTCTTGAGAAGACTTGAAATGAGCTGAGCGCCATAATTGCCGCCTGACTGTCGGAGAAAATGGCAATGGTTTCATTTGTGACCCTCTGCCTGTTTATTTCCCCTATACAGTGTTCGATGGCCGTTACTTCCGGAACACAGTTGCATTATGTCCGAGGCTGGGTGCGATTCACGTTTTTTCTCTGCCTCCATATATACCGGCTTCCACTCCTTCTTGGCTATTTTTGCCATCTGTATACCAAGTTTCTCCCGGACGTTTTGCCAGTCCTCTCTACTTGGTGTGATGATTTTGAAATCTTTTTGAAAGTTGTACTGCGGAACTGTGTTATCCACGAGAATTCCTAGTATTGGATCTGCCTTCAGTTTATTGTAGAGTTTCAAGTATTCTGCACCGTGTGACTGGCTGACTGAGGTTTGCCCCTGCATTAGCCTGCGTCACCAATAGAGCTTCTCTTTGTTTGTAGATGTGCAATGGTGGAAGTCCGAGTAGGACCTCAAGTGCTGCAGTTGGGGTCATTCTCATGGCTCCCGCGACAGTAATACTTGATGGAATTCAAAATTACTGTCCGAGAGTATATGCAAAGACAATATAAATTCAAAAACACATGGATAATTTCAATAGAAAAAAAGAGGCAATGGTGAGAAAACTTTTGCTTTACTTCTCTATATTCATACAAACTTCCAAAGGATGAAACAAATAATTAATTTCGAAAAAAACTTCGCAAAGATGCGTAGAATTCACTTTCAGTCACATGACATGAGCAGATTTAACTCATCCGTGACATTAAGTCGTGATGGTATGAATGAACTGAGTGGTTCATCTTGTAATGTTATCCAGATTGGTGCTGAAGAGGCAATTAGAAAAGTGTCATATTCAGAAGCAGTGATGTCCACCATTGAGGATGACGAGGGAATTATGTGGAATTTTATGTCTTCCATATTCAATATTGTCTAGCAATCATGTGCAACTTTTTCTTTCGTGTAATTCTTCCTTCCGTTGGAAGATTCCCACATTTTTTGTATAAAGATGGAGGAGTAGAGGACCGAAAGATTTCTGCCAAAAATTATTGTCTTCTAGAAATATACCAGTTTCAATTTTTCACAAGTCATTTGTGCACCCGTCTTGGAGGAAGGTATATATAGTGACAAAATTGCAACAGACGAATATTGAACTTCACGAGCATGAAATCTGTTGCAGCCAGCGATGAGTGTCATCAGAATTCTTTCCATTTCTGAAGACGAAAACAATTTTTTTCAGCTACTGAAACGTTTAAAAAGGTATAATACTTTGAATTCACGCAATAACTTATTGTGGTGAACTGAAAAATTTGCTCTTTTTAAACCTGCATAAGTTTTTCATTACAATTCTCAAATCTTTCAGATCATGCAAGATGAAAATATCCAAAAAAAAATGAGTATTTTGTTTTTCTCACAAATTTAGCAAATTTAGAATATTTTGTCTTCACTCTGATTGACGTATCAAGAACATAACCAGGTTACGATTTTTTCATGAACTCAAAATGAGAGATTTTCAAGGTTTTCAATTGAAAAATAGAAATTCAATATTTCATTAGTAAACTTCGGTACTCAACTCTTTGATTGAATCTTATAACTTCTTTCAGATTGTGGGAGATCACTTATGTTAAGAAATCTGTTGAAATACTCGTATGATCATTTTAAAAACTATTTCTTGAATATTTGAGCTTCAAGGAAAATCTGTGATCATTATTCTCAATTGACCAGTTTCAAGTCGGTGAGAAATTGTAAAAAAGAAGGATCAATACAATATCTGATACCAATTTGAAACGATCAATTGGCAGGAATAATGTGCCCAATTTAAAAGTAATGTATTTGAATCTCCTTCGACCAAATATTTTTCTCACTGAGTGGAAGAACAACTCAGTAGCACTTGTGCTAACTGAGTTGAATTTTGCCTTTTGTTATATCAGCAACTAACTCTGTAATTTATCTAAATATTCGTATGTTACTACAGCTGGGAAATAATAAAGACGATTATTATTATTACTAATTCATATGGTCCTTCGGTGGCTCAAAAAGTTATTAACATATCTTATTCAGAACACGAGGGTATTTGACCATAGTAATCGATACCGTTCACACCGAAATAGATCCATCAATGTGAATGTTCAGATTTTTCTTTCACATGAACATGAAATGAAAAGGATCTATCTGAAAAACTATTGCTCATACGAATATCAAATTACACCCATATTCAATTTTCATTTCTCAATTCATACATCAAATATTAATAATGGGAATTGAAGAATACAACATTCGTGACAAACCCTACAGAATATAATAAATGAAAGACTAGAATTTCACCCATAAGATTAATTTTCACTGTGAACCTGGTCGAGTTTTCGGTTAAAACCATCAGTCGTCAGTAATAGATAATTATTCACTCATATTTTTTCGTCCTCTTTCAAAATTTGACACTCTCAGAGATGCATATATTTCGTCAAAAATCACCGTCATTGGAGTGGCAGAAATCATTCTTTCCATTCCAATTTTGGAGCTTTGATTTCAAACAAAACAATGAGATAAAAGAGAAGTAGAAAATCGAAGATGAATATTCCCTAAACAATAATCTCCCCATGAAATATATTTCCCACAACAAATCGTCGAACTCTCACTGTAATATTTTTTCCAGATATCAACTCAGGAAAGACTGGATTCTCTGAGCAATGGATGTTCGCTGTCCAATATGATTCAATATGATGACACAGATCACGATGGAAAATTGAGCATCAATGAATTCTACGTGGCTTTCAGTAAATTGTATAGTAAGTATAATGAAATATGACAGTAACTATATCACAACATAAAACACTTTCTTCTGAACCGGTCAGCAAGTGTATTCTAATAATTGAAAATTATTGCAGTTGTATCGTCAACAGCATATGCTGAGTGGGAATATTCGACCCTCCACCGCAACTCGCAAGGGTTTATTGTGGCTCAAACATATTCACACTCGGCCAAATAAACCCAGCTTTTTAACGAATCCGATTAGTTTGTATGGTGATTGGTCTTTCAGGTCAGATGGTAAGAGTACGGATCTGCCAAATTCAAAGAACCTGATTCGGTCCCCAGTGGGGCAGACACAAAGTATATGCTCTGTAGTTCCATCATTTTCCAGACAGAGGCGACACACACTGTCTTCCGACAGTCCAAGTCTCTGCATGTGATGATTCAAATGGCAGTGACCTGAAAGAAGACCTGTTAGACATCGTAGTTCATCCTTTCTATAGTCCAACAACTGTTTGGTATCAAGCTTCGAAGGGTATATGAACGCCCTGGAGTGAGCCAATACTGGAAGATTCTGCCAGAAGCCCATAAATCTTGCCATCCAGGTGTTCAATGATTGTTTGGCAAAGCCCAAAGCGATGCAATTGACAGGTTCTGATTCGATGAAGCCACTTGCAGCACCCTCTTTTGCTAGAGAGTCAGCAGGCTTCATTACCTTCCAGGCCAGTATGGCCAGGAATCCAGACCAGAGACAATGTGTTGAGTCTTCCTATCGAGGATAGTTGTTTTTGGCAATTTGCTACCAATTTAGACGTTGCTCGCTAGGAGCCAAGAGCTTTCAACGCCGCTTGTCTGTCCGAGAATATTTTCATTGACTTGTTTGTGAGGTTGGATTTATCCAATCTCTCCACACACAATTCAATAGCGTGAATTTCTGCTAAAAAAACATGTCTCTGTCCCGGGTCTGCGACTAAAAACACCTGCATTAGAACCGGAAGGTGTTTTCGATCCATCTGTGAACCAACAACTATCTGCTCTTAATATCTCTTTCTCCCGAAGGATCCAGTCCTCTCTACTCGGGAATAGCCAGAGGAATACCTCAATCCGTGAACGTTTCGCTCCAAGTAACAGGTGGTACGACGATCTTCTTTACTCAAACAGAAAAATGGTGTGTTTGGCAACAGTAAAAAGTTACTACATTGAATTCCGATCCTAATAGCTATCTCCTTAGGATGGAATTGTTGCTCGATGATGAAACATTGAATACCTACGACAGCTATTCTCATGTTGACTCTTACTGCAGCAAAATCACATGTTCAGTTCCATTTCTTGATAATTTCGCTGAGTGGGAGGTGTTCAATGACAGTGTCGTGCACAATGATACAATAGGCTCGTGTATTTTGTGGAAATCCCTCAGATACTTTTATTTCAAGTTTTACATCAGCACTGGAACTTTTGATGCTTTCATTCCTTCTAGAGCAATCGATGACAAAGAGAGTGTTTTGTATAAAGTCGGCAATGTTGATGAGAGGATTATGTTGATTAGTCATTTCATAGGTAAGACCGAATTGTGCGTAGTTGAAATATGCTTGCAAAAAATTCATTTTCCCAAAATTTAGATGCATATTCTATTTGGGATAATTTTCACCATTCAGAGTCAACGTTATTTTGGTGATATTTATATGGTTGAATTGCGTTGGATCCTTGTTGACTTTGGTGTAATCACGATCTTTTTGGAAACATACAATCACATATGGTTCCCATATGCTGCCATTTTCTGAACGGTATGAGAATAGGAGTGTCGGCTTGGATAGCTTTCAAAAGTTGCAATTTGATTTGATCATGAGGGAAGATTCGTTTAACTTTCAGTTCGATATTTTCAATGTTCAGCTTAACTTTCGTCTTTGATGCTACTATTTTGAAACAGTTGCTATCATCTCCAGCTCGTACTAATCGGATGGTGTGTTAACCATAGGAAACACATTGATAATTATTGAAAATATTCAAGAAATGCTTGATAGGTATAATTATGTTGAACGTTGAAGATGTAGTTTGAATGATGCCGAAGCTCTTGGGGTATGTCCATCCTGAGATTGTCAAGTGTTTGATATCTTCATCGGTGTAGGTGAGGAAGCCTCTGACAGTACTAACAATTCCAACTACACGAACTGCTTTCAATTTTTTACCATTTTGCTCATAGGTAGCAGATTGAAACAGGAAACCACCAGCATTGTTCAAGAAGGTCACATGACCATCTCCTATACTGCCCTCCTAACTAACAAAGCAGTATGTCCACTTTTAGTGCTTTTGAGTTAATGAGGTTTTAAATTTTTTTTCCTGGGCGGGCAGGTAAACAAACATGTAATATTTCACAACTAAGTATAACAATGGATGATCACTTTTTCTAACTACTCTGATATTTGAAATTGATTGAATCAAATACTTTAATCAAAAATAGGCTGTTACTGCGTTTTAGTGTAGAATATGAAATTAAAAATTTGTTTTGGTGCTAGTCAGTTTTGCAGTATTGGAAAAATTTGGGAGTTACTGCGTTGTAGACAAGCGACATGGAATAAAAAAAAAGATAGGAAAATAGGGCCCAGTTTTTATTTTGTCCGGAACAGTTATCTAACCAGAAGGTTATGTTCTCAAAGTCTCGCATGGCGATGAGGAAAGCGTGAAAGGTACTGATCAAATCTTCTTTTTTTCTTCCGGAGATGCATTCATGCCAGAGGCAAGCGAAAGGTTTGATCTGCTGCTTCTTGCCAATCGGTACAAAGCTTTCGTTAAACACAATAATTCGTTGACAAAATATCACCTGCTTAAACATATCGATCCTGGGCAGCATTATAACTTTTTCTAAATCCGCAGAAACAATTAGGGATGTTTCATCGGAACCAGCATTAGCAGCATCAGTCCTGTATTTTTCACGGGCATTCTTTGCCTTACTCATATGATTTTCCCATGCCTTGCACGACTCGCAGTCTGGTATTAGATTTTGTTGAGTATGTTTTGGATCATGCATCCTAAAAATTTCACATGTTCCACATTCCTCGTGACCCAATTTAGTGAATGAAATATTACAGTCCTTTGAAACACACTTTCTGTATAACTCGTAAGAACACTTTATGTCGGGATATTTTGCCATGAAATCCTTATGCATGTTAGTGATGTTGATATCGCTAGCTAAATACCTTTTGTTCGGCGCATGTTCTCTTCTGTAATGGGAAATGGTAGGTCCAAAAGATTCAATATGTGTTTTGATTACACTTCGATCCGTTTTAGGAGTTTTGGGGTGCTTTCCTCGTTTATCTTGCCCGCTCGTAGCATTACTTTCCTTATTAATAACATTGGTGATAGCTCGGTCGTTTTTGCGATCATATCCCAGTGTAGTTAGAAAGAACACTTTGCAGATTTCCACTTTTTCACCGTTTGCATGTTTCAAAAAGTATTTACAAGACCTTGTCCTCGACATTGCAGAACCTCTTCGCCGTTTCACTTCCATAGTTGAAATACTTGCCGAAAGAAAAATTTGACGTTCCAGTAGTCCCTATTGATTGATATACGCTGATCTTCCGCAATTTTTCCAACACATCCTTTCTTGCATGATCCACAACCTGTTCGAACCGTATGTTTAGTTTTAACTTCTTCCAGTTTATCAGCATTCCTTTCTGCAACGGTTTTACAAAACTTCTTCCTTTTTCTAAGTTCTCCCGTTCTTTTAGTGTATTGTTCATCAGGGTGAATGACTTCAGCCACTTCTCCACTCTGGTGAGTTGAGGTTTTCTTTAATGTTCTACGAATCTTCTTGCTCAAAGGTTGATCAGATGAAGTATCAGAGTCAGGTAAGTAATGGGGATCGTCCACAGAGTCGTCAGAATCTAATAAGGGCATGTTTGCATCTTGAATTGTGTTCATTGAAGAACATTGTGCTTCATCAGTAGCAGCAACCAGAACGTCTTGGGTATGGCGTACTGGTGATGATGGGGTATCAGAATCAGATAGGTCATAATGATGAGGATCGTCGACAACAGTGTTTTTAGAATCAAGCAATGGAATGTTTGCATCCATGATTTCATTTGAATGGATCAGCAGAGGCAATGATGGCGCATTGAATTCAGGTAAGTGGGGATAACCGAATGCCAAATGATTGGAATCAAATATTGGAATATTTGCATCCTGATTCAAATTAGAAAAGTCTGGCTCCTCAGCGGCCATAATTTCAGTTGAAGTTGGTTCTGGCACTAATGAAGGACCGTCTAAGTTATCTTCAAATGGCGAAGCAGCAATTGAACCAGATTTGGAGATATCAGCATTGTAGAGGCTCAGCGGATTCAATGTAACATACTCATTTGATTCTGTTTGTTCGATCACATTGCTGGATATAGCTTGCACATCACTTACATTTATTGTCACCTTATTCTGAAGACCCTTCTTAATCAGTTTCCACCGATAACCGTACTTCTTGTTCTCCATAGTAATTTACGGAGCAAATCTGAAGAAAGTGAAAAAACCACATTCAAATAACATGAATAATAATTCTTAATTAGGTATTAGCCAAGAAGCACCTTTAAGGTTTTTTTAAATGGCAAGTAGGAAACTGATCAAACAACTGAGACAAATGTATAATATTTTTGATATAAATTAATATAGTTGTTATAATAAAGAGCTCAAGTAAACTCCCGAATTAAAAACAAATAGAAAGAACGAAGTAAATGACAATAAACATTATGAAGAAAGTACTTACCAATCACTCGAAATAACTTTTTCCAAACTAACACTATCACTTTTTTTATTACTTGCTGATAAAATACACAAATTATGCAATTGTTGGTTATGTTTATGTTACCTTCTACACGTTCAAACGCGACTGAGATCTGCCGCACATACAATAAAAATGTTTGCATGTCACCTGACCCTAGACATAAACGCAGTATCTCCAGGCAAAATTGGAAATGCTGCATTTTAGTCAAGCAAATGTCAGATACTGCCCTTTAGATATGTATGAACATCAAAAAGTGGACATACTGCAAACGTTTTAGCCATTTATTTGAATATGGATTGCAAATACTGCTTTTTTGCTTAGTTAGACATATACAAAAATGTTCTAGATATGTTAGAAATGCAGTAACTCCAAAATGACAAATTAGGAGTTACTGCGTTCTAGCTTAGGAGGGCAGTATAATTCTCCCAACTTTTCCACTGATGAATAGCAGGCTATCGTACAAAGCATCATAGGCATCGGATTGGTTAATGTTGATTTCAATGACATCATTGTTGCGAAAAGATTTGACATACGGGTAGTAGGTCCGCCATTCTACCTTTTGTATGGACTCATCGTTTTGCGGTTTTCGGAAAATGTTAACTACTTGATTGGACAACATGATAATCCAGAGATTTCAGGAATAATTTATTCTCCGTTGACAGTTGTTGACGCTGTTTAAAAGTCTTGGTGAAGACTGACGTGGGGCTGGGTGATGAGTTATTCTTACAGATAGTTGACACCATACTTTCGCTTCAATTCCAAATGAACTATTATTCCTTTGTTTCTGAAATCAACGAGCCTAGAATTTTGGTCGAGAACTCGCAATGTAATGTTTATTTCGTTCGTATGAGAAATTGGTAGATAAATAAGATGATTGGGTGTTTCGTCAATTGCGTAACCAGGATCAACATCGACGGCAAATTCGTATATCGTATTAGATGGTGTGTCGTTATAGAAGGCTCCAAACGTAATGTTGCTATTCATGTGTATGGTGCGTACTTTAATGATATCTAAAGGTAAATCGGATGCGTAATGCAAGTTGGGTTTGAGAAGAGTAGATGAAAAGCCCAGTATGTGAGCCAAGCTATTTGCAGGTGGGAAATCAATTGAGTGTTTCAAACAAAATATTTCGCTTTTCAGCGTATTATCGTTCGGTTTGAGATAGAAAAATTCCTGAGGATTTTCCTTGTACGTTTTAGGCACAATAAATTTGCTTATCAAAGCTTCAATGTCACCAATTTTGTAAGATCCAGAAGGGATATCGATACTTTTTTGTTTAGTTTTGTCATCGTTTTCGTAATAATAGAATGTCGTTCCTTCTTCAATGTTCGGTATACTGTTGTACGAATGGAAACTGAGCAAAGCCAAACTGTATTCTGAATCGGAATCCAATTGAATGGGTGGATTGAAATCAATGAAAATTATCGAAGAACGACTCGTTAGAGTTAATATCATAGACATGACTGATACATTTCCCACATGTACACACCTTAAAAAAATGAATTGAAAACAATAACAATATTTTGAATCATTTATTCCTACAATAATAACATTCTCTTCGTGAGCTAACAGGACCATAATATATTGCATTTTGTAGCGATGACGCAGTTGACACCACCTTATGTCGATAATGGATTAAACATGGTAAACGAATCTGCAAAGCGAATCGATATTGTTAGTCCTTTGGTAATCTATGCCAAACATCTAATAATTCCCAATCAAATAATCAATCGAAAGAGTTTTCAATTCAGCTTCGGTTAAATCCCGTATTACTCTTAACGTTTTTGCAGTCATTATGAAGTAGAAACTGAAGGCACAGATGTCCGCAATTACTCTGGTCAAAATTTTGATACCGATCATTGTTATATGTAATCGTTATACCCCTTCCAAAATATCGCACCAATTCCATCGGAGGTTTGAGATTACCGAAACTATCAAAATATTGTACAGCATTGCCGTTTTTAATGTAAGCTACCCAATGAGTGCCTTTATTCAATCGAGAATACAAGTTCAATACAGCACATTCTCGCGGCTGAGGACCACAAGTTGGCAACGCATCACGCATAAAGACTTAACGAAAATGTGGTATTTTCAATTGATGGGCACGCTTTTGAATTTTCGAATTATATAATGCTCTATGGGGTAGCTTCAGCAGGAGTTTTTTTATTGCTTTTTCAAGTAAAGGCCTCGTCCTCTGCGTTGATATTGTTTTTTTAGAAACAGACCAAATCCCCGAGGTGTTTTGCGCAAGTACAAACCGGAACCCGAATGTTCCATAGCTTTATTGTGACGTTGATCTTCTTCGAGTTTTTTTTGGCATTTTTTGCATCTATCACTGTTTTTGCGATGGCGCTCGCTCCGCCTACCAACGAACCCAAAGCTGAAAGGACTACAAATATGGCTCTTAGTGGTAGGATTCCTCCAGATTTTGCTTCGAATGGAATAACTCTCGGTATACGTATCTTCTTACGTCCTCCAGCTTTATGGACAGCCATTTTTGCTACCTTAAGAGCCGATGCCGCAGATTTCTTCACGTCATTCGTCATAGGCTTCCAGTTTTTAATTATATTTTGCAAAATGCTGCATCGAAATGATTTCACACCCATTCCTAATTTCCGTTTGGACTTCATTATTCCGGTGACGAATAGAGCGCTCGCCAAGTGTTTAGATTTCACTCATTGCCACGTATTTTCTTCGAGAACTTTATCAGCTCGATGTCTAGCTTCAAGACACGTATCTTGCGAATATGCCAAGTCGTGTTGTTCACAAACCGAGTCTAGTGGATTAATACCAGGATCGCCTCGTGCAAATCGTTGTTGTAGTTTCGTACCAGGACCGCAATACTGATAGTCAGGTAAGTGTAATCCGAATGGTAGCTTATTGATTAGCGTATTGACGATACCTTCTCCGTGATAAGTCAACATATGGAATGATGGATGACGTCAATGTGAACGCTACATATTGAAGTGAATCTACCGATCATCGATCACAACGTGGAAGTCGTTCCGCAAGACAATACATTACCCATAGACAACTTGGACTATTTGGATGATGGCGTCAAGTATCGAAATAAACATGACAAGTTGTTGCTCAATTCGTTTCGCGCCGTCATATGTGGTCCGTCAGGGTGTGGAAAAACCAACACAGCACTATCGATATTATTTCATCCGAATGGAGCCAAATTTGAAAATATCTACGTGTACTCAAAGTCATTGTATCACCCCAAGTATCAGTTGCTTCGAGAGATATTGGAAAAAACCAAAGGAGTCGGTTATTTCCCATTTCGAGACAACTAAGAAATTCTCAGTCCAGAGGCGGCTGAACGAAATTCCATATTCATATTCGATGATGTAGCCTGCGATGGTCAGCAGAAAATTCGCGAATATTATTTTCATGTGCCGATATAAGGACATTGATGCCATCTATCTGTGTCAGACGTATTCCAAGATACCCAAACAATTGATACGCGACAATTGCAACATGCTTGTATTGTTTAAACAAGACGAAATGAATTTGAAACATGTATCTCCACGTATCTCCAGACATGTCTTTCGATTAATTCAAGAGAATGTGTGCCGAATGTTGGCGGCGCGACAAGTATGGAACTTTTATCATTGACAAGGAATGTGATTTAAATACGGGGCGATATCGAAAAGGCTTCGACAAATACATAAGTGTATGTGAATAGAGATGGAAACGTTATTTGTCAATATGAAACCGCTCAGTTGAGAAGTCGATGTTGTGCGCAAGAACAAAATTAACGAAATTTCAAAAAGTATAAGAAAAAAGTATCTAGCTCTGAAATTGGGAAAGTCTGAAAAGGATGAGTCGTTTTAAAAGTTTTTTCAACCTATATCGAAACCACTGAAGGATGTAACTGAAATCTCTAAAAAATCGGTAGACCATTTGAGACAACGTAGTGGTGTCAGTAAGAAGGAAGAGAAAGAGGAAATGAAGAAGGAGCCGTTTGATCAATCTCGAGCATTTGAAGAAACACAATTCTTACTACTTGAAAATGTTGCTGAAACGGGAAAGGATTATGATGAGGTATTTCACGAGTCGCCTCCACCACCACCACCATCAATGGAAAATATTTCACAGGAGAGTATGATGGAGGACCTGAAGCAATATCCACCCATATCCCACAAATATGTCATGCAACATCGGGCTGAAAACGATTCGATTGATAAAATATACGGATCAGTTTATGACGAGTCCTCTTCAAAATGGATCCTCGGTAGAAAGTACATTGACTTTCATAAACTTAGAAATATCACAACTGAAGACTCTCTCTCAAAGGAACTCCAGGACTATATAATTTAATTTTCCTCGATGAACCTGAAGACTATAATGAAGAGGATCGAGCCTCTTATAAACCTCTTTTAGAGGTAACGCAAACCCACCTGAATGCCAGAGGATCCATGAAGGGAACTCAAAAATGGAAATGGTCCGATGTAATTAGACCCATATTTCGTACTGAAACACTTGGTAAGGGTTTCGATAATCTAGTGAGCAATGAAGAAGTTGGTTCGAATATTGCACTCGACAGACATCGTTGGATATATAATGAGAAGCCCTTCGAGTATGTGTATTGGGACGATCCGAACGAGATATGCGATAGATTCAAGCTGCTTAAAGCTTCGAAAGGAACTAGAAATTATTCTTCTCACGACAACGAAATTTCAGCTATATTCAATGATCTCAGGGAAGCCAACATTATTCAATAATAAACAATTCAATATGAGATGTATTTTATAGTAATAAAAATGTAATGCGATAAAACATTCATTTTTGTCTCGAAAAAGGCGTTGAAAATTTCGCAAAATTTCGATGCTTTAAAATAGGCAGTTTTGTCATTTGAATCGCATTGAAAAAAATGCATTTTTTCAAGTCTCATTTCTTTTAAAAACCCATATGATTTGCATTGTAATGCGTCATGGAAAATGATGCAGAAATGACATGAGAATTGCTTCAAAATAATGTCAAAAATTTTGCGCGATAAAACGTACATTTATGCCGCGATTATCAAATGAAATATTTCGCAAAATTTCAATGTGGTCATTTGAGTTGCGAAAACCACATTGAAAAAACACATATTACTAGAGTTATATCTGTGTGTGTCCATTTTCATTATGACTATCGACAAGTTTGGGCTTAGCTCAAATAGGAAACGAAAGCATTCTACAACACCATCAGTAGTCAGTGGCTTGCTACATACACCTGATGATGACATTGATTTCGATAATTTGAAATTGTGTAATGTGAAAAAACCTACGAACGCATAAGATGCAGTCAACAAAGAGTACGTGGATGAAGTTGAGAAAAACCTCACTGCTTCCATAAGAAGAGATATGAATTGGAAATATGTGATTAGAAATGAAATCGATATCGAACGTATCGGCAACGATTTATCAAAGGGAT